TGTGTAAATCATATTGATGGTAATCGTACCAACAATAAAGCATCCAATCTCGAATGGTGTACACAAAAGGAAAATACCCAACATGCCGTATGTCTTAAGCTTTGGGGTCATTGTCGCAAACGTGCTATCAGGCAGATTTTCGATAATGGATCTTTCCGAGAATTTCTATCCTTAGCTGAAGCACAACGCATAACTGGAATTAATAGTCAAAATATCGGATTAGTATGTCGAGGACTTCAAGCTCATGCTGGAGGATATCATTGGGAGTATGTAAGCACAATATCGCATAATAATCATGAAGATTTTTCACAGTAACATAGACCTTCCGGATATTGCATGAAATTATTTTTTTGCGATATAAAGAAAAAGAAATAATATGGTCAATGCATTTGAAGATATCTCTCCGTTTCTGTAATCCTCATTTAACATTTTTGCGATTTATTGATGAGAAGTATAAATACATTGATTAACTTGATTTGTTCAAAGTGAATAAAAGGACTTACTGATCAATCTTACCGTGTATTATAGCAATACTCACGGTCCAAGAATTGAATTCAGAATTTTGCCGTCACATAAAGGTAATTATGAACCTGTAGGGAAAAATAATACATAATCGCAAAATGGTAATAATGAAGAACACTTATACTTAGCCCCACAGTGATTAGTAATGCAAATCGAGATCTCTGAATGTTCAGCTGAAAAGCAAGTTTAATTAACAGATTAACGGATTAATACAAATCCACAACCACATATGAAAATTTTTTTTGTATAAAAAATTAATGCAAATATTGGTCGTTGCAGTTTATTAACTTGAAGTAAAAAACTTTATTGATAATATCTTAAAAATATAGTGCTGATGCCCATTACATATCATGCTTTTCTTCTTACATACTATCACTTCCAGCAAAGTTTATGCATACATTGACGAAAAAGAAGGAATATTTCTGACAATTTCTGAAGCAACTCCAACTTTATGACGCCAGATTTCTTCCTTTGACATAACATCGTATACATCTTCAATCCGAGCAATATCATCTTCACTTATGGTTCTATCAGGTAACAAAGTACTTAACTTGACACGTTTGGCAGCCGGAATGATGATTGATGTATTCTCCCGATTTGCTTTGGGTTTGTCTCTTAAGAGTTCACTTAATACTTGAATTGCAACATTCCGACTTGGTGCGTTCCAACTCTTTATTGTCCTATCATCTTCCAACCAGAAAATTTGCCAATCATCTGTGAGGTCTGATATGATTCCAAAAACGATCCTACTTTTGGGGGTAATCAAATCAGCAATTATCATTTCTAAAATGACTTGCATCACATGATTCCTCTCGATCTTTTTTTTCAACTCCAGAACTGCATAAATACTTTCTGGAATCAAACGGCTTGAAACATCATAATTATTCACAACCACTACATCAGTTCCACCATGAACATTAAATGGTAACCTGGAGTCCTTATACACCTCTAGTAAGCTGTGGTTACCCCCAATATCATACCAAATACGACCATTGGCCAAAGGAATGTATTTGCGTAACCATTTCAAATATTCATCTTTATGGGCCGGTTCTGACTTATCCTTCCATTCGAAAGCTGGTGGTGATGCATTACTATAAATGGGGATATTATTGAAGGGGACATTTTCAATGTCGAGATTAAGATGGTTTTTTAAAAGTTGAAAGTTTTCTGTATTGATTTTGGAGATGGATATAGTCTCAATAGTTGATTGAGTAAGTTTACTATGCATTTCATGAATTTCGGTGATTACATCTTGTGAAAGGTAGGGAGATGCTTGATTAATCGATTAGGAGAATAAAAAAATGTGGAAAGAAGTAAAAAGCCAAAGTTAGTCAAAGTATACCGACGCTCCAATAAACAGATGGATGGGATATAGATTAGTCTACGTCGAAAATATAGTAATAATTTTTTTTTTATTGCGACAATCAACAGGGTATTATTAGATCATTATTTACCTTCTTCGCCTTTAAGAGTTTTAATCAAATATGCGATTGATTCTGCTGGTCCTCGAGATAAGCCATCTTGCATAAGTTTTTCTTCGTTTAAACGTAGGAATGCCTGACCGGCGACCCAATTATCCTCAATTATTTTGATATCTTGCTCCCTGAGATATAAATCATTTTTCCTGGACTTTAGGAAAGTAATAACCTGCTCAGGACTCCATTTCTTGATTTCTTCAATACTTGGAGTTGTTGAAGTGACCTCTCTGCCTTCCGTAGATGAAATAATTTTAGTGTGTTCAACATCCTCCATAGAAACTATTATGTCGATAAAAATGAGTTGCTTCTTTACAAAAAATATTCGCAATACGCTACTTTACCTGTAGATGGTTCTCTTGGGAAAGTCGATGCTTTTTCCTCGGATTTTTCTTTACCTTTCGAAGATGCACCAACATTGATAGTTTGAACGTCCTCCTTGGGAGCTATTTTGTCAAGAACAATGAGTGGGATATTTACAAAACTGCTCACAATAACATCCACTTACCTGTTGGAGATTTTTTCTTCTTTCTTGTCATTATTAAGGAAAGTGTTACGGAGCACAGAATGAGCTACGTATACATTTACAGTATACGATATACAGACGCAGTAAGTGGCGCAGTAACCGGCATATCAATATCGTCCGAACTTAATCTAAAGATTGATGCTGTAAAAGTTTTAACCTGACTTATTTTTTCTTTACCAACCGCATCAAAAAGCTTATAAAGTTTTCTGGCCTTTTCAGTTCTTTTACGAAGAGCCTCCTTTGTAATTTTGTTAGGAGTCTGAGTACGTAGCTCGAGATTGAGAAGAGCATTAGACGCACTACTATTATGAGTTTTTTTAAGTTCCTTACGTCGTTCTTTTAAAGCTTTGCCAAAGTCAAAATACCGACTAATTACTTCTCGATTCGTAGTATCATTTTTCGATTCAGCATGGGTGATCATACTAAAGAAATATAAAAAATTATGAGGCTGGGATTCACCACTGGATTTTTCATTACCCCCCTCTTCAGAAATTTCGGAAATATCGGCGGACAATTCTTTGATGAGTCTTTTCAGAACACCGGATTCTTTCTCTTCTTTCTCATCTTCACGAGGTTTTTTGCTGGGCCTGACTTCCATTTT